GCGGAGGATGTCATTAAGTATGCTGTCGACGAACTTGCCCAGAACGAAACGGAGAAATCGGATGCTGTAGCGTTTGCGTTGCTGGGGTGCTGGCGGCCTGTGGCCAGCCAGGAACCCCACTTCACACGGACGACGGGGGCACCTTGCACTCCCCCTCAAGCCACGCGGCGATCTGCATAGTAGCCAGGCGGCCGGACGCCGCTTTGCAGGCAAGAGGACAGGGGCTCGGGGGGGGGGGGGGGAAAGGGAAGGCGAAGGGGGGGGGGCGGGGGGGGGGGCAGGGGGGGGGGGGTGTGGGGGAGGGGCCGACCGCGAGCTCGGCTGGGCGCGGGCGCGCCTTGTGGGACAGCAGGAGGCCTGTCGGCAAGGCGCGGCCCCCGCCGCTTGGCTGGCAGCGGGAGGAGGAGGAGGAGGAGGAGGAGGAGGAGGAGGAGGAGGAGGAGGAGGAGGAGGAGGAAGCGCGGGAGAGATACCAGGAGCGGCAGCGCGCGGGCCGACCCCGTGGCTGCTGGCAGGCCGCGCATCGGTGGCCGCGCCGCGGGCCTGTGGTCGGAGACGGGGTCGTCGCGTAAGGAGCTGCCCGTCGGGCGGCGGTGGAGGTTTTGGAAGGGCGGGGGTACCAGGCGGCAGCCGGAGCTCTGGCACTACGGTTAAGTCGGGCCTGTCCCCCTACAAGGGGATTTTCGACGAAATATAAAAGATACCCCAAAGATACTCAAAAAAATAATCTGGGGACTATGCTTTGAATATGTGTTGACCTTTTTGTGGCATTTTTGGGGTATCTTGTTATTTTTCGTCGAAAACCCCCCTGTAGGGGGACAGGCCCGACATAACACAACGGGCCTGCAGAACGGGGAGCCCTGGGGCCAGGGCCGTCGCTGACGCCGCGCTGCCGCCGTCAAAACTGCGGCGTCCACCCGGAGAGCGGGAAGCGTACGCTGGCTGACCGGCTGCCGACGGGCTGGCCGCCTGAACAAGACCTGGGCTCCGCTCTGGGAGGCGCGGTGCCTTTAAATTTAGCCTTGGCAGGCTCGTGGGATCTGGCGGCAAACCGGCGGCCTCGTGTGCTGGCGCGTGGTGGCACCACCTTTCGGGCGGCTGGCTTGGCGACGGGAAGCCGCCTGAAGGCAATGGTCTCGTCTGGCGACGTACCGACCGACTTACCACGCCAGGCGAGACCTGCGGAATCAAGGCGGGGAGCACCGACCTGTCGCGGACAGTCGCGCGACACCCGCCGCCCTTGCGAGACGCGCGCAGAGCGAACGACTCAGAGGCGGGAAGGCAGCCCTTAACCGCACAGAAGTCGCCGGGCGCAGGGGGGGCTGCCCACCGCTGCGGCCTCGAGACCTGTGGATGATGCATTGCTTGCTGGGGCTTTGGCGCCGTACTGAGGGGCGCGTGAGTGAGGGCCGCGACTCTTGGCATAGGTGTGGGCGATGTCCCTTTTGGTGTCGGGGCCCACGTTGTGCCAGCCACGCAGGCGTTGGGCGTCCCACGCAGCGCAAGAGCCCGTTGAGAAACCTGGGCGGGAAGAGCTCAGGGTCGGTGTGGACGACGGGCTTAGAAGGAGAGCCGAGGCGGCAGAGAAACACCCACACAAACACCACAGAAACAAAAGGGAACAAAGAACATATACAGCACCGACGACAAAATGATGAAAAACACCACAACCTGCCAACGACAGAGTTGAATGCGAATGCACTGGCTGACAAAACACCTGTACCAGCGGCCACGCCAGGATTATCACAGGCCCCTAACAAAAAAACGCGGCTGCTGTAAAACATGAACTTTGCCTGTCCACGTTTGCAGACAAGTCGCTGGCGACACAGCCCCGTTCGAGCATCGACGAAAGCGACGATCGCGGGCAGCCCAGAGCACTTCGGGGCAGTGCTGGGATCCGCGGGTGCCCGCTGTTCCAATGGTAAGCAATATGGTGCGGCCGAGAGCCGTTGCGAGCTCCAACGAAAACCAGACAATGTCCGGGGCTGGGACGCGAAAACTGATGATCAGAAGTGAAAAGACCAGGGCTGGGTGTCCTGAAAACCTCCCAGCCGAACTGCCCAACGAATCAAGCGAAACCAACGAAACCTACCAGCCCAGGTCGGTGGCTCTGCGAGGTAGATCTCCCCCCGCGATGTCAAAGGGTCTGGTTGGGCCCAAGTTCGTTCACAGATGGCCCCAGAGTGTTCGAGATGGCCTCCAAGATTGCACAAGATCCAAGTGGACCCAGCTAGCCTACAGTATGCCTCCCACGCGCCACAAGATCGTCACAAGACCGCCCAAGTTGACCACGAAGCCTCCCAAGGATGCCCCGAGAAACTACAATCCTCGACTAAACTCACGCGTTTCGTTTATGAATTCCTTCTCGCTTGTTCTTTTGCGATGGGCCTCTGTGGCCTGAAAAGATGGCTCCAAAATCGTCCGAGAGATCCCCGACATGGGCCAAGAGGGGCCCCACGACGGCACCAAAGGCACCCTGAAGCGCCCGCAGAGCACTCGGCAATGCGGAGTGCTCAGGTCTTGCAGTGAAAGCCCTTGCGCTCACAGGTCCGCACCCGCGCCCCATGCCACGTTGAGGCGTGGCAACATGTCCAGGGATGTCTGGTTGTGGCCTACTTCGAAACAAAACAAAACAAAAAATGGACCCGTGCTCCTGAGGCCACGATCCCTCCAGGATCCCTCACAAAACACGGACCCGAGATCACAGTCCCACAAAAAATTATCCTGGTGATGGACCCAACCATATCCAGTTGTGGGTACCGCACTTGTGAATATCTTCTTCGGTGAAGCTCCTATGGGGCCACCAAGCGCTGCACTGGGCGGGGGGGGCGCACGCGAGCGGTAGCACTGGGGCCGTCGGTGGAGCTCCCTATGGTGAAAATGCAAAAGTGGGTGTGTGGGACGCTTGCGGGCGGTCCCACTGAGGGCTTCAGCCACGAAACGCTGTACTGGGTGGGTGAAAATGCCAAATTGCGCTTCTGGGACGCATGCAGACGGTCCCACTGGCGGCTTCTGTGGAGCTCCCTATGGGGCCACAAGACGCGGACCGTCACTGGTGGGGATACGCGAGGCGTCAAGAAATTTGATAATCCACCAGCCCCTGTATACGGTAGAGGGCGTCGTCGGGATGACAGGTTGAAAAGTGGAACGGACGGGCTCAGAACGGTGGCTGGCGAGCAGGGCCGAGGCGGCAAAATCTAAGTGGCACTGATACCAAACAATGTCGCGTGACCATATGCAAACAAACGAGCTTTGCTTCGAGTATTGGCACAGATTGCCGCGCACAAGTTCGCTTCCACGCACAACGCACCTGACGGCATAGTTGTTTCCACGAATTCACGCTAACCCAGTAGACGAGTTCGCTTTTGCACGCAGACACCACTTGCCAGCAAACAGGAAGTGACAAAGCGACAGCGATTCCTGCACAAGATGAAAACTGATCGATCGTCAGCCTGTGAAACCCTGCGCCTCCAAAAAAAACGATGTGCTCCTACCCTAATCCTCAAAGGCAGGCTGCTTGGCGGCTCGTTTTCTCACTGCGTCGTCATGTTGCTCACCCTGCCATTGCACAACAAGAATTCGCCAACCCCTTGGGGCACCCTCGGCGTGTGAGCCAGCTGCCCGTCCTCAAGCCCGTCCCCCTCGGGGACTGGCCCGGGCGATTTCGGCGGGGGGCTGGGCGGCTCGAGCGGGAGGGGGCGCCTCGGGCGAAGGGGGGTCAGGGATCCTCCGCGGGGGAGGGGGGGGGGCTCCTTTTTGAGAGATGAGAAAACGACCCTACCCTGGGTTACAAGTGCGTGGTCTGCAAACCTTCTGGGAATCCCCAAAGCCTAGAGCCGCCAGGACGCGGCACATCACGCAGGGTTTACCCTGTCAGCCCACAGGAGTTTCAGCGCACAGCGCCTCGTAAACCAGGGTAGGGGCGTTGTTTCTGCCCTTGACCTTTGGCCTTCCGAAACGCCCGCGAACTTCCCAAAAAGGCTGCAAGGTACCCGTGCGAAGCCGCACCGCGATCCGAGGAGGACCCACTGGACCCCACGAGGCCCGCAAGCGGCATGCAGCCAGGCTCGTCGACACTCCACGGGAGGCCCCGAGCAGCCAAACTCACTGAACTCCCGTAGGTGCTTCATTGCGCTGGGGTACCCCAAGACGGCCCACGAGGCCCCCAAGATCTCCCCCAAACAGCCCCAGAGGCCCCAAGGCAGCCTCAGAGACCCCCAAGACAGCCCCAAGAGGGCCCCAAGAAGAGAAAGTCGATTTGGTTTGGGGAGCCCCGTCCCTAGAACGGCCCCGAGAGGCCCCCAGAGGCCCCCAAGACGCCCCGAAGAGACCCCAAGGGCCCCAAAAGCCCTAAGAGGACCACCAACAACCGTTCATGATTATCATGGAATCGTGAAAAGATGTTCGCGGTCTCTTACCTACGAGCTTGAGGACGGCCACGACGGGCGAAGAGGCTCCGAAGGTCGCCCCAAGATAGTCCACGAGGCCCTCCAGACGGCTCCAGGGCGGCCCAAGAGTCACAGAGACTTCAAAGGCCCCCCCTAAAGCCCCCAGGGCGTCCCCACCAAGAGCCCCCAAGGTCTCTCAGAGTCCCCCGGGAGACACCCAGAAGGCCTCACAACGCACATATCCCACTCGTACCCCGCAAAGCAAAGGGGAATCTGAATCGGTCGTGCACTGCTTGACACAACACACGACGTTTCCGCAGACACGGGCCTAATGGCAGGCCCTTCGGAAACCACCGGCGAGCCCCTCCAGAACGTGCAACGACCGTGAGCCGAGCACATTCCGCGATTTTGGGATGCCCCAGGGAGGCCCGCGTCGTCACGGGGATGCCACAACCGAGGGGGCGACAGCGACCCCCTCAGCGTGCAATGAGCATGCTGCACAGCGTAAAGAACACGGCGAGTCCATGGCTACGCATTCATCTCCACCAGGCAACATAGGCAACGTCTACGCATCCGTCCTCCCACCAGGCAAGGCCCCTACCCCTGGCGGGCCTGCAGGCTGCGAGCATCCATGAGGCGGCGGGAGGAACGGCGGAATGCCCTCCACGCCCTCCCGCTCAGTTCGCAAAATATCAGGCGATTGATCTACGCTCCGAGCATACTGCACCTTAAGGATGGAGCTGACGCGGCCCGCTCCTCCTCCTCCTCCTCCTCCTCCTCCTCCTCCTCCTCCTCTTCCTCCTCCTCCTCCTTTCCTCCCTCCTCTCCTCCCTTCCTCCTTTCGTCCTCCTCCTGTCCTCCTCCTCCCTCCTCCTCCTCGTCCTCCTCCTCCTCCCTCCTCCTCCTCCTCCTCTCCTCCCTCCTCCTCCTCATCCTCCTCCTCTTCCTCCTGCTCCTCCTCCTCCTCCTCCTACTCCTGCTCCTCATCCTCATCCTCATCATCCTCATCATCCTCATCCTCCTCATCATCATCAGCAGCAGCAGCATCCTCAACATCACCATCAGCATCAGCATCAGCTTCATTATCAGTATCATCAGCATCATCATAATAATCATCATCATCATCATCATCAGCATCATCATCACCGTCATCATCATAATCGTCATCAGCAGCAGCAGCATAATCATCGCAGGCATCATCACCATCATCATCATCAGCATCATCATCATCGTCATCATCATCATCAGCATCATCATCATCAACAGCACCATCATCATCATTATAATACACAACCTCATCCTCATCCTCATCCTCATTCTCATCCTCATCCGCCTCCTCCGCCTCATCCGCCTCCGCCTCCTCCGCCTCCTCCCTCCTCCCTCATCCCGCTCCCCTCTTCCCTCCTACTCCTCCTCCTCCCTCCTCCCCCCTCCCTCCTCAATCCTCCCTCCTCCCTCCTCCCCCATCCCTCCGCCATCCTCCCCGTTCCCTTCTCCTTCCCCCCTTCCCCATCCTCCCTCCTCCCTGCCTCCTCCCTCCTCCCTTATCCCTCCTCCATCCCTCCTCCCTCCATCCTCCCATCCCTCCTCCCTCCTCCCTCCTGCCTCCTCCTTCCTCCCTCCTCCCTCCTCCTTCCTCCCTCCTCCATCCGCCCTCTGCCCTCCGCCCTGTGCCCTCCGCCCTCCCCCCTCCCTCCCCCTCCCCATCCTCCTCCTCCTCCTCCTCATCCTCCTCCTTCTCCTCTTCCTCCTCCTCCTCCTCTTCCTCCTCATCATCCTCCTCCTCGTCGGCGTCTTAGTAGATTGTGTCGTATGCGTTGTAGTATGTCTCGTCATATGAATAGTTATTGTAGTATTCATACTACGATCACGATCATTCTTCGCCGTAGGATTAGTATTACTGATGTTAGTGTTAGTAGTGGTAACATTCTTATTCGCAATATTGAATATGATCACTCATATGAGTAGTACTGATACTAGTACTAGTATTATGAATAGTAATAGTAGTTGTAGTTGTTGTAGTAGTAGTAGTAGTAGTAGTCGTAGTAGTAGTAGTAGTAGCAGTAGCAGTAGCAGTAGCAGTAGCAGTAGTAGTTGTAGTCGTAGTCGTAGTCGTAGTCGTAGTCGTAGTCGTAGTCGTAGTAGTAGTAGTAGTAGCAGTAGTAGTAGTCGTAGTAGTCGTAGTAGTAGTAGTAGTAGTAGTAGTAGTAATAGTAGTAGTAGTAGTAGTAGTAGTAGTAGTAACAGTAGTAGTAGTAGCAGTAGTAGTAGTAGCAGTAGCAGTAGCAGTAGCAGTAGCAGTAGCAGTGGCAGTAGCAGTAGCAGTAGCAGTAGTAGCAGTAGCATCACCATCATCAGTAGTAGTAGTAGCACAAGAATTATCAGTATTAGTAGTATTAATGTTAGTAGTCATATTCGTAGTAGTAGTATTATCAGTACTAATAGTATGATGGTCATTATTCTTAGCATACGTAATAGTAGTATTCGCAGTTTCGTTCGTATTAGTATTACTCGCACTGCTAGTATTAATAATATCCGTAGTATTCGTATTCGTCGTAGTAGTGTTATTCGTCTTCGTGTTCGAATTATTGTTTTTCGTAGTATACGTGTTATGCGTGTTCTTCGTCGTATGATTCTGAATATATTTAGCAATCGCCTCATTATTCTTACTATCAGGATTCGCACAAGTCGTCTTCTCATGCTTAGTGATATCCTTCTTAGTCTTCTCCATAATAGTAGTAATGGTATATGATCCGTCGTCGTATTATGTTTCTCCGTCTTAAGATTAAGGTTGTTATTATTATTCGATTTAGTATTAGTGGTTTCTTCTTCATATGATTATTATTGTGGCTATTATGATTAATAATAGTATTAGTAGTTGTCGGATTGATTCTTCTTATTCCTATCATTATTCCTCCTCCTCCTCCTCCCCCTCCTCCCCCTCCCCCTCCCACTCCCCCTCCCCCTCCTCCTCCTCCTCCTCCTCCCCCTCCCCCTCCTCATCCTCCTCCTCCTCCTCATCCTCCTCCTCATCCTCCTCCTGCTCCTCCTCCTGCTCCTCCTGCTCCTCCTCCTCCTCCTCATCATCATCATCATCCTGCTGCCTCTTCCCGGCGAAAGGGCCGCGGGATGCCCTTCACGCCCATTTGGACGCCATGCAGCAGAGTCCAGCATGGAGACGCAGGACCCGCGCAAGGGTCGGAGAGGAGTAGACGGGAAGAGAGACGATGGAGGAGGGCGGAGGCAACAGGGCAAGGAGCCCAGCCAAAAACATGAGCGGAAGTCCAATCGAATGGCAATCCCACCTCTCTCCTGACTTCTGCCATGAGGGACCGCCCGAACCTCTGATCCACTGCCCAGTCCTGTCCCGGTCCCCTCCCTCCCACCCCTCCACGTCTCAGGATCAGCCCACGCGATCGGATACCCCCTGAACTGCCAGGCGGCACCATATCCTCTTCTCCAGGAAAGAGCCAACGAAAGCCAAATGCGGTGAACACCTCAACTTGGCCGAAGCCTAACCAGCTCCAGAAAAAAACAAACAAACAACAATGCCAGCACCACGCCTTCCCATCAACAGTCCAGGAGCAGAAAGGGAGGAGGAAAGGCGTCTTGAAACCTGCTCAAGGGCGCGCCTCCAGAAAGAAAGCCGGTTTCAACAGGCAGAGGCGTTCAATCCAACACGGTCCCCCGCCCCCTACACACCACGGCTGCGCCTGGCGCATCTCAAACACCATTCAGGCTTAAGCACCGCTGTAGAGCACCATGTGAAGGCCGCGCAAATGAGACAAACGAAACACGTTGAGCCACCATGGTCATCTTAAGAAGCGAGCTTAGCCACCCTGTCGAATCGCTGATAGCAAGCAGAAGCGGCGTGCTAGCGCTGTGAACAACACATGAGGGCCCGTCCCGTTGCAGTCCTGCGCCGACTTGACGAACGCACCAACCCCACCACCTCCCCTCAGACCGCCGTCTGAACCCTGATTGCAAGACGCCGCTACATGAAGATGCAAGTGTTCCAAGCGCGACTCCGCATCCAACTCTACGAACCCATCCAAGCAGCAAGCACTCAAATCTATACCACTGCGTCCGTGAATTTGCGTACTCCGGATTTCACCATAAGAAAGGGCGTCTGATGGGGGAATGATTGAAAGTGCCTCGGAGGTTTCCGGGAGTCTGGGGAAAGAGCCGTTCATGGCTGGCTGGTCTGAGGGGTCCAAAATTACTCGTCTGGCCAAGATTGTGACCCCTACCTTTTTATTATAAAATCCGGAATAGCCACGACACACCAACACGCGTGAGCAACGGAAAACGACGTGCACGCTTACGCAATGCAGGCGCCCTCACGCACACGCGTTTTCCCCCGCGAGTTCCGTGCTCAGGCGCTGGCATGAAGTTTGCCAGGCGGCACTTGGCAGCTCGCACATGTTCCGCCCACGCGGTGATGGAGCGCAACCACTGAACTAGCAAAGGCGGACCTCGCCACACATACACACACACACACCTACGACACAACAAAACTAACACACCCAGATGCAACCATGAGCACGCACACACTCGAACTAAGACACACGCATGTCTGGAAACTCATGCAGTCACAAGCGCGAGTACACACACACACAAACAAACAAGCAAACCAACAAACAAACAAACAAACAAACGAACAAACACGCACGCACGCACGCACACCCTATTCCTTCACAAAGCTGTCGATGTCAAAAGCACACACGCACACACAGCTGTCCTACTAGCGAAGGCATCGTATCCCAGATACCCTGGCAGACAGACTCACACCCACAAACACACAAACACGCACAACAACAAAAAACAAAAAAATACAACCACACACATTTGTTTGGCGTCGTGGCCACGAGCGCGGCGGCGCGGTTGCAAGATTGGGCGAACCCCACGAGCGCGCGGACAAGGCCAGCTCACGCAGCAGGGCACACACAATCACACACACGCACACACACACACACACACAGTTCTTGGCGTCACGGCCTTGCGCGCAGCGACAGGGCGGAGAAAGTCCGTAGCAGCGAACGCACCACACACACACACACACACACTTGGCGTCGGGACCACGCGCGCGGCAACGCGGCGGATCGAGGTGGGGCGACTCGCGCGCGCGAGCGGACCGGGCCAGCTCACGCAGTAGGACACCCACCCACACACACACACACACTTTTTTGGTCTGCGGGTCGAGAGCGAGCCTCTTCCGCTTAAGAGCTAGCCACACACACACACACACACTTGGTTGGCGTCGCGGCCACGGGCGCAGCGGCGCAGCGTAGAAACACACACACACGCGCGCGCGCGCGCGCGCGCGTGGGCGCCGAACGCGCTGGGCAAAGGGGGCTGAGAGGCTGCGCAGCGAATGACAAGCGTGGAGCGGCGGAACTCAAACACGCCCAATCGGGACCGCCGTCGCTCCCCGAGAGCCCGTAGGGCTCGCCGGCCAGTGCACCCGCGGCCTCTGCCCCCATGGAGGGGCGGTCGCCAGAGCCGCCCGGGCCCCACGGCTCGCGTCCACGGGCACGCGGCGCACCCCGTTTTTCCGCCTGCGGTCGTCGCCACCCGGAAGCGCCTCGCTGCTTCCCCGTCGGGCGGTCCTGCACGCCGCCAACCCTCGCCTCACGGATGCCGCCAGGGACCGCGGGTGACCCGGCAGCTGCAACAGGGACGGACAGCCCAAGGGGGGGGAGGGGCACTGCATGTATCCACGGGTTCCGATCGCCCAGGTCTTCGACGAGGCCCATCGGGGAATACGCGTAATGGCCGCTCCTGGGCCGTCCACCCCTCTTGCCTCCACCCAATGACGGATCCCCTCAGGCAGGGACAGGGGAGAATCGCACCGTGGCGCGGGGCCTTTGGAGAAGCTGCGGGGCCGTGCGTCCACGGAGTAATCTTCGCAGGCCATCTGCTGGTCCATTCGCTGATTGGCGGAACCTGTGTCGCGTTACGACAGAGCCCACGTTTGCTCCCCGCCCGGGCGTCGGTGACACGCCCAAGAAAAGCAGCTGGCCACCCGCCCTCTAGCGCCTCCAGGCTGGTGTTCCGTGTGCAGATAATTATGATGAAAACAATTCGTTTTGCGTTGCTGGGCAGTGTTCCCTGACTTGTGGCGGCCATCCTCTAGAGCAAATACCCCCTCGCTTGGATAGCGGGGTAACGACCCAAACTCCAGCGCGTACTCGGGACCAACAGCTCCGCACAAAATTGTGATGAACCCTGGGCAGCGTAAGAGATGTTGCCATGGCAGGTAACAATGATCATCTAAGACTGTTCGTTCTTATCTGCTCGCACGTCAAGCAGCATGTATATCCCAAAATATCGGCATCCGCCCTCTTTGTATTCGATCGTACCCGCCTCGGCGGTGGATCTTCCACATTACCCGGGACGTAGTTGGCGCAGCCACTAAAACAGGAAGACGAGGGAAACAGGGAAAGGAGTGAGCGAGGAGAAAAGGAGTGCAGGAAGTGAGGGAGGAGGCAAGGGGCAGGTGGGAGGGAGAGGGATGGAGCACGAGAGATATTAGCAGGAGAGGGGCTAGGAGCAGAGCAAAATCGACGGGCAGATCGGACCAATAGACCCTAACGGGCGGGACGGGAAGGCGGGCCGAGGCGGCTGGGTCAACGAGGCAGGATGCTGAAGCTTGGTAAATTACGAGGAAATGCAACGCGAAAGGCGCGATTCCTGGGTGAATGGTGAGGAGCTCCCGAGCGGGAGCGCGACTTTGAATAAACCCTGAAGTATCAGGCGGGAGCAATTGAATTCTCATCTCCTCAAAAGAAAGATCGTTGATCACCCCTGCCCGGTGCCCATTTTGTTTTTAATCCCAAGTGCTCCTCCCAAGGCTCGCACCCTTTTCAAACAAGGGAAAATCTTGAGCGTCAAATTGGGCTCCTGGCCCCAGGTTTACAACAACAACAACAACAACAACAACAGCAACAACAACAACAACAACAACAACAACAACAACAACGGCTCCCGCCGGATACTCCATCATACTGTATTCCAAAATCGAGGTCTCGCGCGGAACTTCCTCACCACTCACCCAGGAATCGCGCTGTCGCGTTGTACTGCCTCGTAATTTACTCAAACGCCGCCCCCTCCACACTCAGAAATCACGCTCTCGCCCTGGCCTTTCTCACG